TAATGTGTTGCTTTCGACATACCAGTAGACAATCTGATGAGCCTCACCAAGCATGTGTCATGTTTTGGTGTCAAACATGGAGGCATTTTCGTGTTCACATCTTGAAATTTCAGACATGGACACTTATGGTTTGACATGTTTGCCCCCATAAGTTTTGACATAGGTCTAGAAGTTGAACAATTTTTATTATTTGTATTTCTTTTTATAGCTTTTGAATTTGTTTTCCATCTTATATATAGGAATATTTGTTGAGGCGTGTTTCAACATTCAACCAAATGCATATTTGAATTGGGTCCCCCACTTCACTAATAAGAATTATTATTTATATTTCTTTTTATAGCTTTTGAATTTGTCTTCCATCTTATATATAGGAATATTTGTTGAGGCGTGTTTCAACATTCAACCAAATGCATATTTGAATTGGGTCCCCCACTTCACTAATAAGAATTAACATGTCACTTCATGTGAATTGCTGTTTTGCATAAACGAAATCTCGGTTTAAGATGAATCTTTTCTTGAGTCACCTTCCGAATCATTGTTAGCACTTAGCAGCCTTTGTACTTGCATCAAATAAAACTCACATGACATGAAAATTCTGCTAGCTTTCCAAAACAAAGGAACACAGTAATTAGGTCCAAATTGTTCCATAATTCATGCAGGTTGAACTGGACAAGATATTGTCTCATTTTTGTCTAAGATGCCCTTTTGTAGGGATTGTAGTTTCTTCAAATTTAGTTATCTCGTGCATTATTTGTGAAATTCATTTATGTTTAGAGCTCTTGAACTTGTACCTGTATTGAGGTCTGCTCTTCAAACTAGCGAACTTTTTGGGAGAGGTGCAACTATGCAGTGGAAGACCCTAACAGCCTCACTATTCTTCAAGCTACTATCAAACCATTCCAGTTTTATGTTCTATGATGTGACTCAATGTTTCTAATGAGCAATCTCAATACGGATTGTGACATAATAGCTTTATTTTAGCAATTGGTAAGATGCATAATAGCTTTATTTCAGTTGGAATTCTTATTTCTTCTTCCCAAATCTATCTTGATAAATATTGAATTTGTCATTCGGCTCATTCGATCATTGGATCTAGAGGCATTTTGTTTTAGACATCTCGTGGTGCGTGGCTCTACCACTATATCCGATTAATGTGTTGCTTTCGACATACCAGTAGACAATTTGATGAGCCTCACCAAGCATGTGTCATGTTTTCGTATCAAACATGGAGGCATTTTCATGTTCACATCTTGAAATTTCAGACATGGACACCTATGGTTTGACATGTTTGCCCCCATAAGTTTTGACATAGGTCTAGAAGTTGAACAACCATATTCATGTATGGGATGCATGTATTTGCTTTTCTATGTTAATTTTTCTTATTTACTTTTGACAATTTTTATTATTTATATTCCTTTGTATAGCTTTTGAATTTGTCTTCCATCTTATATATCATCCGTGTGATTCATCACATAGGAATATTTGTTGAAGCGTGTCTCAAAGTTCAACCAAATGCATATTTGAATTGGATCCCCCGCTTCACTAATAAGAATTAACATGTCACTTCATGTGAATTGTTGTTTTGCGTAAATGAAATCTCAGTTTAAGATGAATCTTTTCTTAAGTCACCTTCCAAATCATTGTTAGCACTTAGCAGCCTTTGTACTTGCATCATATAAAACTCACATGACATGAAAATTCTGCTAGCTCTCCAAAACAAAGGAACACAGTAATTAGGTCCAAATTGTTCCATAATTCATGCAGGTTGAACTGGACAAGATATTGTCTCATTTTTGTCTAAGATGCCCTTTTGTAGGGATGGTAGTTTCTTCGAATTTAGTTATCTCGTGCATTATTTGTGAAATTCATTTATGTTTAGAGCTCTTGAACTTGTACCTGTATTGAGGTCTGCTCTTCAAACTAGCGAACTTTTTGGGAGAGGTGCAACTATGCAGTGGAAGACCCTAACAGCCTCACTATTCTTCAAGCTACTATCAAACCATTCCAGTTTTATGTTCTATGATGTGACTCAATGTTTCTAATGGGCAATCTCAATACAGATTGTGACATACTTGACCAGATTGATTTCAAGTTAATTAAATCCTGGTAATGCAAATTCCAGAATATTGTTTTATAGCATGTTAATCATATTTCTATCTCGAACTCTAATTTACATGGGGAAGATAATGCCTTTAGATTTAGGAAATGGGATGAAGGGGCTTTGTAAAGAGGAGGGTAGGTAGTTATAGTTGAGTTGACTGCTTCGTTGCTTGAGAACTTTCAAGCCTGGTTAGGGAGTGAGGTACTGCTTGCTTAGATCACCATGATTTGACATTCATTCGGGGAAGTCTGAAATAGGTGGATGGATGATTTTTGGGAATAGAAAGATGTTGTTTTCTTTTTGGTGGTGGAAGTTGGTGGAAGCGGAAAGGACAATAAGGTTCCAAGGGTAGTGAACCAAAAGGCTAGGTTGTGGATGGTAAGGTTGGGGAATGCTGCAGGTTGAGTAGAAGGAAAGGCTAGGTTGTGGTTGGGGAGATTTTGGCAATTTTTTTTATTTATATTTCTTTTTATAACTTTTGAATTTGTCTTCCATCTTATGTCTCATCCGTGTGCTTCATCGCATAGGAATATTTGTTGAGGCCGGTTTCAACATTCAACCAAATGCATATGGGAATTGGTTCCCTCACTTCACTAATAAGATTGAACATGTCACTTCATGTGAATTGTTGTTTTACATAAACTTAATCTCAGTTTAAGATGAATCTTCTCTTGAGTCACCTTCCAAATCATTGTTAGCACTTACAGCCTTTGTACTTGCATCAAATAATACTCACATGACATGACAATTCTGCTAGCTCCCAAAACAAAGGAGCACAGTAATTAGGTCCAAATTGTTCCAGCATTCATGCAGGTTGAACTGGAGAATATATTGTGTCTCATTTTTGTCTAAGATGCCCTTTTGTAGGGATTGTAGTTTCTTCAAATTTAGTTATTTCGTGCATTATTTGTAAAATTCATTTCTGTTTGGAGCTCAATTTTACCGAACTTGTCCTTGAATTGAGGTTTGCTCTTCAAACTAGCAAATGTTTTGAGAGAGTTGCAACTAGCAGTGGAAGACCCTAAGCAACTTCACTATTCTTCAAGCTACTATCAAACCATTCTAGTTTTATGTTTTATGATGTGACTCAGTGTTTCTAATGGGCAATCTCAATACGGATTGTGACATACATGACCAGATTGATTTCAAGCTAATTAAACCCTGGTAATGCAAATTCCATAATATTGTCTTATAGCATGTTAATCATATTTCTATCTCGAACTCTAATTTACGTGGGGAACATAATGTCTTTTGGTTTAGTAAATGGGATTGGTAAAGGGATGAAAGGGATGTGGTCTAGTGTAAAGAGGAGGGTAGGTAGTGATAGTTTAGTTGACTGCATGGTTGCTTGAGAATTTTCGAGCCTGGTCATGGAGTGAGGTACTGCTTTCTTGGATCACCATGATTTGACATTCATTCTGGGAGGTTTGAAATAGGTGGACGGACGATCTGTGGAATGGAAAGATGCTTTTTTCTGTTTGGTGGTGGAAGTTGTTGGAAGAGGAAGGGACAGTGAGGCTTCAAGGGTAGTGAACCAAAAAGCTAGGTTGTGGATGGTAAGGTTGGGGAATGCTGCATGTTAGGTGGGAGGAAAGGCTAGGTTGTGGTTGGGGAGATTTTACAATTTTTATTATTTATATTTCTTTTTATAGCTTTTGAATTTGTCTTCCATCTCATGTCTCACCTGTGTGATTCATCACATAGGAATATCTGTTGAGGCGTGTTTCAACATTCAACCAAATGCGAGAACTGTCCTCAGAAGATGTGATTGTTACGTTCTATCGAACGAGGGCTGCCATTGAAGCCTTCCACAATATGATACCTGAAGAGGCCCAGGGGTAGAGGTGGAGAGAGGAAAAGAGATTGAGAATATTTTTTGGGGCCATCCATTGCCATTTGAAGAGCTGAAGAAAAGCTCCCCACAAGGAATGGGCCAAGGGACAATATATAAAGAGGTGAGGGTTACTTTCCTCGGCTTCGCGACACATGATACATCAATTAGGTAAAGCCAAGCCTCTCTTTACAGTTGGTCAATCTCTGAAGGAAAGCAATCCAGTTGATTGGCATGTGGGTGCGTGGACAATGAAGGTTTCACTGTGTGGGTATGTGGTTTGGCGTGTATTTTTACTCGTTCGTTCGAGCTTGGTCTTTCATCTGACTCTGAGATATGAGTTTGGCTGCATTGCTTTAATATCAAATGGGCTATGAACATTCATATATGTATCATTATATATACACACACACACGCACATCCTGTTCCTGAATGGTAACTTTAGAAACCTATTATCCACAATTTTAAAATACCTGTGTCTTTTCCTTTCTATAAAACTAGTGGTGGGCATTAAATATAATTGTGCCTGCTCCAAATTTTCAAATTTCAAGACTTTTAATTTGTGTTATTTATCAAATCCACCGGAACGTTGGAGGGCGTGTGCGCCTAGAAAGATGCAGCCTAAGAACACTATGAAAATAATTCAAATAGTGAAAATGATCAAAATAGTCCTACAACTAATTTTTGACAATTTTTATTATTATTTAAATTTTTGAGAGATTTATGTATGGACACCCTTTGGGGGCTCTTATCTGGCAATGACAATGCCGGACATGAGGGCCCAGTCTTTCCACAAAGCATTAGCTCTGTCTGCCGCTTGTATTACCAGACAACTAGCTTATGTTGTCCAATGTTCGTAGTACTGGACAGTGCTCTAGAATGCCCCAAAACCCCGTTCGGCCTTTCTTCCTGTCATTTCTACTTTTCTCTCTCACTTTCTCTCTCTCTCTGCCCAAAGCTCCCTCTCTCCACAAACTTGCGGTCTGAAGCTCCACAACCATAGACATATGGCCATCCTAATCAGGTAGGTTTAATGGTTGTGTATTAATCTGGAGAAAATTAGATTTATGGTGGATTAGAGTTTTGCAATTCAAAAAACCCTAATCCACCATGAATTAGAGAGAGAAACTCGATTCTGATTGCAATAGGAATCCCAGGTTGCACTTGTAAATCCTGTTGACTTTGATGTTGCAATCAGTTCGATTCTTATGTCAACTCACAATCACTTTGATTCATTCATTTTAATTGCAATCTCTTGAAAAGAATTATGGCATGCCAACATTGACACTCTGCAAATGAAAACACAATGTCCATGAGTTGGCTGACTTGGTTAATGGGTTTTTTCATTTGTTATATTTTGTTGTTGTGCTTTACGTCAATAGAAAATTTTAAGAGTATCACATTTATGGGTTCTTTTAGGGTTTAGGTGGGCTTATTGTGGAAATTTTTTATCTTTGTTTTGGGGTTCGAATGGTGTAATTATAGCAGTGGTAGTTCCCTTTCGAATTGTTGTCTTTCTTGTTGGTACTCTCATGTGTGGGCCATGTTTTTATCTTATTTCAACCGGCTATCTTCACTAATCTTTCTTATTAACCACTACTTCTAGATAAAATATCGAAGTGTATATTTTCAGAGTTGCAAAAGCAACTACAATTATAAATGGCTATCTTGGTTCTTTTTGGAAATCTAACAAATATTGAGATTTGTCAATTGTACAAATTTCTCCATAGTGTTTCTAATTTCATGCTGATGTCATATCCTCATGGAGACCTATTTGTCATTACTTCTTTTGGTGGTATTGTGTTATAACAAGTTATCCATTTATTTAAAGTGTTATATATTGTTATGGCTTAAGTTTGATTTAGGTCGTGTCTTTTTTTGCTCACATGTGCCATTTTTTGGCATGTGTGAAGTCATGGGATTTTGATAATTAATTTAATTTATATTATTATCCACATATGATTTTGTGACGTGTGGGTATACCGTATGTGACACCACCTTATGGGCTTAACCCATGTGAAACTTTAGTATTGTTGAAATCCATTAGTGGTGTCATAAGATATTTTATTCACATATGTGGATGTCTCATATTATCTTTATGTTCATGTCCTCATCTTTTATTGACTCTCACAAATTATTTAAAAACCATGGGCATAAGTGTAAATATGAATTTGGATTTAATGGGAAATAAAATATGAAGCTAAGGGATTTAAGGTAAAATGGCTATAAACCTAGCTTTTAAAAAGTGAAGGGTGTCAAAGCTCATCCAAGGCATCAAGGCTCAAGATCAAATCCATCTTTATGATCTAAATATAAAAGTAACTTTTGGGATCATTTCAAAACCCTAACTTGAGTATTCTCTTCAAAGAGAGAGAGTCATAGCCCCCTTGACAAAAGCGTGGCTTCCATGGACTAGTCCCTTATGTGTGTGATCAAGCCCATACTATTGTTTCACTAAGGTATTAATTTTTCTTCTTATATTTCAATTCCTACCTCATTTCTATTATCAAAGGTTGCTGTAATTTTTACTTTACAGTAGCTCTTTGCATCTTTTCGTTATGAATACTTAGTTTTTGTAGAGTCTCCAAGCAATAGTGTAGTCCTCGCATATATCATGTGTAGATTAACTTGTTTACTCCATAGTTTTGAATAGTTTCACTTTGAGTTTCTTGATCCAAATTTTTTGGAATTTTTATCGAGAATATACGTTCGATCAAAGGTTTATGTTATTATATTTGAGCATATGAGATAATATCTTGAGCCTCTTTTTGTATAATGAAAAGTTCGTGTGGTCCCTCAAGGTGTAGTTTCACCATATCTTCCCTATTTTGTGTAGTATCTCTCTCAACCTTTCAAAGGCTATTTTGATATATGTCTCTCTCATGATTTGACCCCCATTAAGTGAAATAAAAGTGATTATTTGCTTCCCATTGAGTTAATTGTGGTCTACGGACCACAAGAAGACAACGAGAAATTGGCCGTTTTGAGAGAGTTACAGTCTTTGAGGTCCCTCCCTTTTTCTAAGTGGTGTGTAGGAGGTGATTTTAATCACACTAGATGGTCTCATAACAGTCTTCTAGACATCATGTTGGAAGGAGCAGAGTTCAGTTGGTCTAGTCATTCGGCTAATCCAAGCCTCTCAAATTTAGATAGATTTCTAATCCCTCTGAAGTGGGATCATGAGTTCCATGACACTCTGGTGCTTCCCAGGCCCATCTCAAATCATAGAACTATCCTGCTAGATACCCAGTCCCTTCCTCGATGGCCTAAGCCTTTTCTCTTTGAGTTGTCTTGGCTCTAAGAGCCCAGCATCCCCTCTCCTGTCCGTAACCATTGGCAGTCCTTCTCCCCCCTCGTGAATACATGGGCCGGTTTTATCTTGTAGAAAAAGCTTCAAATGCACAAAGTTTTCCTGAAATCATGGAGTTCACAACTCCCTGGAAACTTCTGATACCAAAAAGATTCCCTTTTGAGGTCTATTCAACATTGAGACTATATTGAAGAACTTAAACCTCCCTCCCCTTCAGCTGGATTCTCGATCCATCCATAAACGTGATTACCAGTTCCTCTTAAAGAAAGAAGAAATTTATTGGGCTCGTCGGGCCAAAGTCAGATAGCTCAAGCTTGACAACCAAAATACAACTTATTTCCACAAGATAGCCAACTGTCAAAGAAGGGAGAACTGTATTACCCACTTCAAGGTGGGGGACCAGATTGTTGACCATCTCAATCTCAATGAAGCAGCGGTTGTCGAATATTTTTCCAAGCTTTTCTCTTCCCCTTCTAGTCCTAGGCCAGTAATGGCGGACCACTCCTTCTCTTCTATTTCTCCCAAATCTGCAGCCTCTTTGGAAAGCCCTTTTAGGAGGACAAAGTACTCCAAGCCATTAAAGACCTCAATGGACTTCCCCATAGCCCTCTTCAAAGTCTTTTGGGATACCTTAGGACTGATATCGTGGCTTTCTTTTCTGAATTTCACTCTCCAGCTACTATCCACAAGGCGATGAATGCCACTTTCATTGCCAAGATCCCCAAGAAGGAGGGAGCAAAAGAGCATAAAGACTTCAAACCCATTAGTCTGATTAATACTTCCTACAAAATTCTCTTAAAGGCCTGGCTTCCTGCCTTAAACGTGTCCTTGGCCAGGTGTTCTTATCGTCCCAAGGGACCTTTGAGAAGGAACATCAGATTCTCGATGGGGCTCTAATAGCACACGAGTGCATCCATTCCTGCTGTAGAGCAAAAATCTTAGACTTGGTAATCAAAAAGCTTATGATAATGAGACTTTGTCCAGAATGCCATTTGGATCTCTATGATTGAGATGGATTCAAAACCTCAATTTTTGGACCCTATTAATGACACATCTAAGGGTTACATTCATGCTTCGAGAGGGCTCTGCCAAGGGGACCCCTTTCACCTTCCTACTTGCCATAGTAGTTGAGGTGTTCAGTGCCTCACTATCTCGTGTGTACAACACGAGACGCATTTAGGGTTTCCAAGTGGGTAGGTGGGTCTCTCTATATTCCACCTCCAATATATCGATGATACCCTCCTTTTTGTGATGCAATTTTTTAAAAAGTTAGTTATTTATTGCTCTACCTCCAATGCTTCAAGTTGGCTACGGGCTTTCGGGTGAACCTAGAAACAACTAAGATGACAGGAATTTGCCTTGACCAAGCCATACTGAAATGCTTCGCTGACTCATGGGGATGTGCTGTAGAGCCAACGCCCTCATCCTATCTTAGCCTTCCATCTTGCATTGGCCTTCCTCGAATCCAGTTATGGAGCTTGGTTATAGACAAAGTCGAGTGGCACCTGGCTTCATGAAAAGGGAGAGTCCTTTCACCAGGCTGCAAAGCAACCCTTATCAAGGCCACAATTTCCAGTATTTCCCTTTTCTTTATGTCTTTTTTCTTTATGGTCGTAGTCGCGAGACTGGAAAAACTCATGAGGGCTCTAAGGCTGCTCATTGAAGGGGCAAGTGAAGAAAGTCAAGCCCCAAGCATGAGAGCTTATGTATGTAGAAGTGTCTATCAATTGAAAACCTACTGAGGCTATGATTGTCCCTGGGGCTACACACAACTTTGTGGCAGATCAAGAGGCTCGCTGGCTGAACCTCAGTGAAGGTACTGGATGGTCTCTCCCTAAAATCAAATACTTACGGGTGTCGTTCAGCCACCTTTCAAGGGAAGAGAGGCTAGAACTTGCCGCACTTCCTCCCTCACTTACGTCTGACAATGAAGCGAAAATTGAATCAATTACTTGTTTCAGTCAGCTTGCTTTCAAACTAGCAGTACTCGAACCGACCTCATAGACACGATGAAACTCGATTCCTTGTTCACCTCCTCGTCACCCGCTTTACTACTCCCTTGCTATTTTCTTTTGTCTGACCCGTAACCCTTCCTCTTCGATGGCAGAAAGCATTACTGGTCCACCTAATGCGAGATCTTGGAACCACAATTTCAAGAGACTCTTAGTTGACCACAAGCTTCACCAGTTTTTGAATCTCTCAGTCTTACCCGATTCGATATTTTTTCTCCCACATGCAATGACAAGATTGTTTGATCACCATCTCCATCAGGTTTATTCACAGTTGCTTCATTTTACTGAAGCTTATAGTCCCTACCTTCTCCTCCCCTCTCTGCCTTTCCCTCTATAGCCACCATGGCTTGGTGCTCCTTTTTGCCTTTAAAATCCAGCTTATTACTTGGATAGCACTCTATGAAAGGGCTTTGACACTCAATCAACTACAGCAAAGGGGTATACATTTTCCTAACAGGTGCACCATGTGCCTCAATGCTGAAGAAACCAATCAACATCTATTTCTAAATTGTGAGGTTGCCTTGGCCCTTTGAATCGACCTTCTTCTTCTATTCAGATGGCTGTGGGTCATTCCCCAATTGATCCCTCACCTCTTCTCCTTATGCCTTAGAACTCCTTGGAAAAATTCAGGAAATCTTCTATGGAGTGCTTCCATCTCAACCACTCTTTAGACCATTTGAATTGAGAAGAATAATAAGATCTTTAGTGAGGAGAGAGCCTCTACCTCAGCTCTTATTGAAAAAAGGAGGTCACTTGTGACATTCTGAGCCCTAAACCTCCCAAGCTTCTCCATCTTCTCCTTTTCGGATCTTCACCAAAATTGGCAAGCATTGCTGCACCTAAGTACCCACAGGATTCCTCGAGCTTCTTTATGAAGGACACCAGAATCTGGGGCCAACTGATAGCTGCTCTCTAGGCAACCAGGGCTCCTCAAGCATTGGATGCCTGTTTAGGAATTTTGAAGCCCTGATCCTCCTTTCTTATGCTCTGCCTATCAGAGTCAAGGACTCCACATTCGCTGTGGCCAAGTCTCTACTCAGAGGACTCAGAAGATGTAATCATCTTTGGAGCAGAAAGGTGTAGGTAGAGGATATTCCAGCAACACTATCGCTTGGGCTTCTGGCAATGCCCTCTGCCCTTGGAGACCAGATAACATTTTTGTCCAAATTGGCCACATTTGCAGCAGTATCCAAGTCCCTTGGAGACACACTCATAGGAACTGTAACGCTGCGGCAAATGCACTAGCAAGGGAAGCAGCAAGTCTCAACTATCCCTAGGGGAATTTGGACCCCACTTAGTGCTCACCTCATTTTTGGATCTATTGCAAAGATTCTCGGACCCTCAAGGCTTCCTGTATAGGGCACCCTATTTTGGGAATTGCCTAATTTTTGTTAGTAATTATCTATACAATCAATACAAAAGTCAACTTCCTCCAGGAAAAAAAAGAAGGTTGGTTGACTAATGGAGAACAATGTTGATTTATTGCATTTGGGTTTTATGCCTAGAGGATTCATTAGAAGGTTCAGAACTTTTTAATACTAGATCTTTCTATTCGGTTTCTGTCCACTTTGAATTTGGTTAGATGTTCATATTTCTGCCTCTTTTTGTTAGTTTTTTATTTCTTGTGTGTTTGTTTGGTGGTGGTGGTGGTGGGGAGTGTGTGTGTGTGTGTGTGTGCGTGTGTGAGAGAGAGAGAGAGAGAGAGAGATTCATAGATGATATGAATTGCATCTCAAGACATTGATATTTTAGTTGACTTGGGATTTGATTTCTGCCCATAATATGATGGCAAATTGCTAATAGAACATTTGTGAGTATGAAACTTTGGGATTAGTCATTATTTTGAACAGGGACCACAAAAGTATAAATAGCCATTGAATATGGAAAATGAAACTTTATGTGCTGTTTGTTTGCCTTTTGCTAGCTGCATTGTAGATATTTGTTGTTTGTTTTTTTAAACAAGGTGGTTTCTCAGTTATCTCTTTTATTAAATCAATGTAATTTTTTGTAGGTGGTAGAGCTGGGATTTACCCTAGCAGCACTTGCTCATGTTTGACACAATGCCATGATGGATGAAAAGAACAGTAAGTTATGCCAGCAGTGGAGGTCTGGCTGTTCAAGCATTTCAGGCATATTTTCAGCTTAGCAGCATTTGCTACATGAGGCTTGTTTGCTGTACAGGTACTATTTAATATTGTTATTCTATGTTGTTGATCCCCTTAGGCTGG